CCACGACCTTATTCCTCTCTCCTACAGCGTCCGTTACAGTTATTTGCAAATGGCAAATTATGCAAATTAGGCGATGACGTCATTTAGCGACTTCTAGCGACTTTTGGGACAGCCAATAGCTACTTTCCTTACTGAGGAGTTGGCAACACTGGGGCTTCAACCAATCAGGAGACGAGGAGCAGCAGCAGCAGAGGGTCTGTCTCTGTCATGAAGAGAAGTCATGTATCTGCTGCTGCTGTTTTATTGTCATTATTGTTATTAGTAATATTATTTGTATGAGTAGTAACATTCTGAGTAACAAAATCATTGTACACATGCTGTGTAGTCAATTCAATTCAACTTTATTCCGGACTCATAGTCCAATAAACGTAGTTTATTTAATATAAGAACAGGCTGACGATGAGTCTGGCTGATGGGCTCGACACACGGGAGGCGACATCGCATCGCCTCCATTCATTTTCAATGGGACGTGCGCGACATAGCGTCAATCGCCAGCGAGCCTCCTGCTCAGCGACGGGCGAAAAACGTGCGTGTGAAATCCTCCCGCTCGTGCATGTATCGTGCACGCGCAGGTCAGCGACGCGATCCCAGAAAGTTGAAATCGGCTCAACTTTTCGACGCTGTCGTCAAGCCGCATCGCGCCCCGTCTGTCATGTTATCTGAGCGACAGCGTTGAGTTTCGCTGATCGCTCTCATTTGTCGCCTCCCGTGTGTCGAGCCCTTCAGAGCAAGGCAGCTCCGGGCGGGCGAGAGCCGGGGAGAGGCGGGGAGAGGCGAGCTCCGGGGTTTGAGAACTCAAACCGGGCGAGTGACATGCGGAAGTACCGCTGAAAGCGAAACTCCTCCGTACGCAGCTCCTGGAGTAAATGACCGCGGTGAAGTTAGTTTGAAGTTGGATATCCGACAGACATTCGCCGCAACATTTAAGTGCACCCGTACTACACACAGTACGGTAAACACGCGGAGACATGTACGCTGGTCTAATATTTACATATAAAAAATCATTAAAAATACTTACAACATTTTAATGATAAAATAAGAGGTGTACCCCCTGCAGCTAGTGGAGGACTATGATCCTGACCTGATTTGGAGTCAATAGGTCACATGACCTGGAAGCTATTGAGCTAAAATGCTAATATTTACATATAAAAATTCATTAAAAATACTTAAAACACTTTAATGGTAAAAGAAGAGGTGTACCCCATGCAGCTAGTGGAGGACTATGATCCTGACCTGATTTGGAGTCAATAGGTCACATGACCTGGAAGCTATTGAGCTAAAATGCTAATATTTGCCTTTAAAAATTCATTAAAAATACTTAAAACACTTTAATGGTAAAAGAAGAGGTGTACCCCCTGCAGCTAGTGGAGGACTATGATCCTGACCTGATTTGGAGTCAATAGGTCACATGACCTGGAAGCTATTGAGCTAAAATGCTAATATTTACATATAAAAATTCATTAAAAATACTTAAAACACTTTAATGATCAAAGAAGAGGTGTACCCCCTGCAGCTAGTGGAGGACTATGATCCTGACCTGATTTGGAGTCAATAGGTCACATGACCTGGAAGCTATTGAGCTAAAATGCTAATATTTACATATAAAAATTCATTAAAAATACTTACAAATACTTAAATGACAAAAAAGAGGTGTACCCCCTGCAGCTAAGGGAGGACTATGATCCTGACCTGATTTGGAGTCAATAGGTCACATGACCTGGAAGCTATTGAGCTAAAATGCTAATATTTGCCTTTAAAAATTCATTAAAAATACTTAAAACACTTTAATGGTAAAAGAAGAGGTGTACCCCCTGCAGCTAGTGCAGGACTATGATCCCGACCTGATTTGGAGTCAATAGGTCACATGACCTGGAAGCTATTGAGCTAAAATGCTAATATTTACATATAAAAATTCATTAAAAATACTTAAAACACTTTAATGGTAAAAGAAGAGGTGTACCCCATGCAGCTAGTGGAGGACTATGATCCTGACCTGATTTGGAGTCAATAGGTCACATGACCTGGAAGCTATTGAGCTAAAATGCTAATATTTGCCTTTAAAAATTCATTAAAAATACTTAAAACACTTTAATGGTAAAAGAAGAGGTGTACCCCCTGCAGCTAGTGGAGGACTATGATCCTGACCTGATTTGGAGTCAATAGGTCACATGACCTGGAAGCTATTGAGCTAAAATGCTAATATTTACATATAAAAATTCATTAAAAATACTTAAAACACTTTAATGATCAAAGAAGAGGTGTACCCCCTGCAGCTAGTGGAGGAATATGATCCTGACCTGATTTGGAGTCAATAGGTCACATGACCTGGAAGCTATTGAGCTAAAATGCTAATATTTGCCTTTAAAAATTCATTAAAAATACTTAAAACACTTTAATGGTAAAAGAAGAGGTGTACCCCCTGCAGCTAGTGGAGGACTATGATCCTGACCTGATTTGGAGTCAATAGGTCACATGACCTGGAAGCTTTTGAGCTAAAATGCTAATATTAGCCTTTAAAAAATCATTAAAAATACTTAAAAATACTTAAACGACAAAAAAAGAGGTGTACCCCTTGCAGCTAGTGGAGGATTATGATCCTAAACTGTTTTGGAGTCAATAGATCACTTGACTTGGAAATATTTACATGTTAAATAAATATTTAGAGATTGAAAATGAAAAAAGTACTTGTACTATGCAGCTAGTGGAGTAACATGATGCAACACTAGTAGGGCTACCATGAGATGACTTTATTTTTTCATCATGAAAATATATTGAACATAGCCCTGTCCCTTGTTTCTCTTCTTCACTGGCATAACACACATGCCCAGCTCTTTTCCATTGCATCCTCCAAGTCCTTGCTTTCCAACGATACACAAGAATCATGGAACCACCTGTCACAGTCATCACACTGTATCTGTTCAATTGAAAACAAAAATAAGTAGTAGTTTTTTTCAGTTGTCATAAAATAAATCTTATTTGTACAATGGAGCTGAAGGGTCATCTAATTTTCTCTTTTATTTTCAGAGGCTATGAGAGTAAAGTCAGAATATTACAATATTACAAGATTAATCAAAATCAAAATATTATGAGATTAATCTCAAAATATTATGTGGTCCGGTTCGGAGACCACAGCCATGGGTTCTGGTTAGGAGGCCACAGCCAGGGACCGGAAGGGGTCTGGTTCGGGGACCACAGGATTTCATCTCTGCTGTTTGCGGACAATGTTAAGTAAGTAAAATAAGTAAGTAATCTTTATTTATATACCGCCTTTCACAGACCAGAGTCAAAAAGCGGTTTACAAACATGTTGTCCTGTTGGCTTCAACAAACCAGGATGTGCAACATGCACAGGGACGGTTTGCAACCAAGTGTGAAGCGGCTGGGATGAGAATCAGCACCTCAAAATCTGAGGCCATGGTGCTCGACCGGAAAAAGGTGCATTGCCCTCTCCAGGTGGGTGGGGAGGTCCTTCATTTTGTTTGTTTTTAAAGCTTTGAATGGACTGGCCCCTCCTTACATCTCGGACCTCATCCAAATTCACCACCCGCCCCGCGCGCTGAGGTCCGAAGGCCGGCTCCAGCTCGTGGTACCTAAGACCAGACTTAAAACCCCGGGGGACAGGGCCTTCTCTGTGGCTGGACCAAAGCTGTGGAACGCCCTGCCCCCCCACGTCAAAACAGCTCCCTCGTTGGAATGTCTGATGAAGGGGAAGAAAATTGATGGATGGATAATGTCAAATTATTATGAGATCCATTTCGAAATATTATGAGTGCCTGGGCCCCATAAGAGACCTGCTTGCGACCCTGGGGAGAGACTTGCGGAGCGCAGGAGAGAACTGCAGACAGAGCAGGTCCAGCCTCTGAGCACCTTGGTACTCGTAATGTTTTTAGCCAATTGCTTCAGTATGTTTTTATAAAAAAAAACATATATTATTCTACATTTACCTGTTTATTGAGGAGCAGAAGAGGATCCAGCACAAGGTCCAGTGGAGTATCAGGAGGGCCAAGAAGGACTTTGGGAAAAAGCTGGAGCAGAAGCTGGCTCAGGGAAACGCCTGCGACATGTGGAGAGGACTAAAGAACATCTCCGGCTTTGGGCAGAGTGCCAGTGGGACAGCGGATGGAGACCAGCACCGGGCGGATGAATTTAACCAATATTTCAACAGTTTGATTCTTCCCCCCTCCCCCACCTCTTCACACGTGCCCAGCCCGGTGGACACTGCCTTCGGCTGCCCCGGGCCGTCCTGCCCCCACACCCCCAGCCCCCACCTCTGACAGTACACCCCCCCCCCCCCCCCCCCCGCCCTCTCCATCACACCGGACCAGGTGAGGAGTCAGCTCCAGAGACTGACTCAGAGGAAATCCACAGGACCGGAAGGGATCAGTCCCAGGCTGCTGAGGACCTGTGCAGACCAGCTCTCTGAGGTCCTCGCTGAGGTCCTCAGCTACATGTACAACCTGAGCCTCAGCCTGGAGAAGGTCCCTGTCCTGTGGGAGACCTCCTGTGTGATCCAGGTTCCTAAAACAGCGCACGCCAAGGAACCGGCTCACTACAGACCAGTCGCACTCACCTCCCACTGACCTCCATCGACTACCTCTCAGACCGACCACAGTACGTGCGGCTGCGCAGCTGTGAGTCTGAGGTGGTCGTCTGCAGCACTGGGGCCCCTCAGGGCACTGTCCTCTCACCGTTTCTCTTCACCATCTACACCTCAGACTTCACACACGACACACACAGCTGTCACCTGCAGAGGTTCTCCGACGACTCCGCCA